TATTTTTTTCGGCTTTTGGTCCGACTTAGTGAGTCATTTTAAGATGTTATGCTGGCTCTGCTAACATATGATGAGGATATGTCATTATTTTTGACATTTCACAAAGTAAAATGATTCATCATTTAAACTAATGGCTTATATTTTTAGGAAGTAAGTTCATTTTATGAGAGTTTAATGTTAAGATAGATACCCTTTCCATGTGTGTACACTAAATATGAAGCTAGGGCCAGCAGGTGAGAAGCTTAGCCTAGCATAGAGACTACCAGCACCTCAAATGTTTAATAATTGTTTGTTTAATCTGCAAACAAACAGAAATATAAAACAACAAGTTGTGACTGGAGGTTAGTTGTTGTTTAACTGAGCTAATCCCCTGCTAGCTGTAGCTTCATCTTCCTTTACAGACATGGGAGTTGTATTAATCCTCGCATAGAACTTCCACAAGAAAGTGGATAAACATATTTCCCATAATTAATTTGGAAAATGTGTTAGTCGTCGGTTGAGTGTAAACGGAGGGGATTTATGCCTGTGAGCATTTTGCAAAAATTTTATATTTTTATCTCATTTTGGAACAAAAATCCTCAAAACAAAGTGCTCACTTCAGTGTATTTACCTTTTAAAAATGACTTATCCCTACTAATCCTTACTGTGTGGGGGGCTGTGGATGAGGTAGAGGAGAAAAATATGTAAATTTAAGCAAACTAGAAATTCTTTAGGGTGTACGTCTAAAAAAGCGCTTGAAAAAACTGCCCTCAGCAGAAAACATGCCTTTGTCAACCAGCACAGCATCACCCCTCCTTTGTCTTTGCTTTACACTCAGTTAAGTTACTGTGTGTGTGTATGTGTGTATGGTTATGCATCTGTGTGTGTTGTGCTGTGTGTGTGTGTGTGTGTGTGCCCTGTTTGAGCCTTCATGCTTATTTAGCGCTCAGCCTTCTTCCCCTTCCTTCCTCGATGATTCGCTTATGTAAGGAATCAGCGCAAGCTTGTCTGAGCACTCTCTCTTATGAATACAACTCTGTACTGTACAGCAGCTTCTCTCTCTTTCACACACACACACACACACACACAAAGGAAACCTATTATCTAATCACTGTTCACCCAGGCTGGAGTCTAGACTTGAAAAGACTCACTTGCTGTTCACAGAATTGGACTTTAGTATATTTGTTAATGTTGGTGAGTGGTTTTTCTCAGAGGTTAAATGGTAAATAAGAACAGTTTTAATTGGCAAGGCACTCAAGTTCACTATTCAGTTTATCCAGTTCTAATATTAATTGTGTGTCAGGTTCACTTTGAGGCTTGTATGTCTGTTTGACTGGTTTTTACCTCGTTAAATAAAGGTTAAACAAAAAATTAAACCGTTAGAAGCCTCCTAACTGGTGTAACAAGCAGATCATTGGTTTAAAGCTGCAGTAGATAACAAAAACTAACTTTTACTAAACTAACTTTTAGCCATATTTGCTTTAACTTTCACTATATTCTGACAGTAGAACACGAGACAGATAATCTGTGAATAAAATCTGCTTCTTCTGGCTCGTTGTAGCGCTTTTAATGACAAGAATCCACCGGGCCTGAATGGAAACAACCAATCAGAGCCAAGAAAGATATGAAGACAGCTTTGAGTTGGAGGCTTGAAGACAGTCGATGGTGGAGTCCCAAAGCCTCTGTACCTGGCACCCTGGGAATGAAACTCAACCTTCAACTATCTTTCGAGCTCTGATTGGTTGTTTTTGTTCATAAAAGTTACCTACTGAAGCTTTAAAAGCTCAAATTAAAACAAAAACTGGGCTGATTTGAAGTCCAGAGTGGGAATACTGGAGCTGGGAAAGACTCTTGCAGCTACTTGCCATGAAAGAGGTTTGAACCATCAACCTGTTGAATGAGTTATTACATTAACCTTCCCTCTAAGTGTTCAACGAATGATTTCCTAACTTTAATTTTAGTGATTAATTTAGCTTAGTGGATGCAACGTCCTCCTTGATGTCCTGCTGCACGTCTCCACCTCACTCGGATAGGGTTCAGATCAGCGGAGGGAGGTTTAGAAGAATGAAATAGTGACACGACAGTGTAGAAGGACTGCTCTGGTGAACGAAACTAACAAT